TTTTTTTTTTTGCTGATTTGGCTTTAACCATCCTGCGAGTCCCGTTGGCAGAAGTTATTGAGTCCCTCCCTCCATTCCAGGTTGGTTTGCATCTTCTTCGGGAGCACGTAGTTGGTGCAGGGGAACTGTGGAAACCTCTGTAGGTTTGGGGCTTGTCCTAAACTGGGATGCAACTGGGATTAGGAAAGAGCTGCTAAAGCGAATCCTGCTTGTAATGCAAACGTGCCTTCCCTTTTCGCCATAACCTGATGGTACCTGGGGTTGCATCCAAACAAGAACAGGGTAGATGAGCAGGGTTCTAAAACTGAGCTTACTCCTTACAAAGGCAAGGGAAGCTTGTATTGCAGCTAAGCGAGGAGAGAAGCAACCTAGAACTAAGGTGAAATCTCCTAAAAGTGAGAACCAGTGGAACAGCTTGCTACCAGAGGTTGTGGATGCTCCAATCACCAGAGGCTTTTAAGAAGAGCCATTTGTCAGAAACAGTGTAGGGTCTCCTGCTTGGGCTGGAGGGGGTTGGACTAGATGACCTACAAGGTCCCTTCCAACTCTGCCAATCTGTAAAAAAAAAAAAGTGAATCGGCATAGTTGTAATATGATCATAACATTATGGCAGGAGTTTGATAAGGACCGGAGAGTCCTTTATTCCTTAAATACATGATTTCACATTTCAGTGAAATAATGTAGGTCCTCCTGCAGGAGCAGGAGGGGGTTGGGCTAGATGACCTCCGAAGGTCCTTTCCAACTCTGTTAATCTGTATATGAACAGCTTGCTTTCACAAGGTGTGGGAACTTCATCCCTGGAGGCTTTCAAGAAGAGGCTGGACTGCTATCTGTCAGCAATGGTGTAGGATCTCCTGCTTGGGTGGAGGGGGTTAGACTAGACGACCTACAAGGTCCCTTCCAACTCTGTTAATCTGCAAAAAGCAAAAGTGAGTCAGCTTTTGTTGTAATTGTAATTGTTGTAGTTGTAATATGATCATAACATTGTGGCAGGATTTTGATAAGGACCGGGAAGCCCTTTATTCCATCAATACATTAGTTCTTATTCGGTGCGCGTTTCAGTGAAATAATGTAGACCCTCCTGCAGGAGCAGGGGGTGGACTAGATGCCCTCTGACGGTCCCTTTCCAGCTCGGTTACTGTGACTTTCACCTATTGACTGTATTTCAGGTCTGCCTTTGACTTCCCAAATGCCTTGAGAACAGGGGACGCTGCCCTCGGCTTGTTTTTTTTAAAAAATAAATAAATTGGAAAGCGAAGCATGCATAGTAACAGTTGGGGTGATTGCTTTCATGTGTCTTTTTAAGGGGAAGTGTGCAGAATCCATGGCAGGCCTTGGGGAGTGGCAGAAAACTAGGCGCAAACCCTTCTCAAAATGTAACATGAGTAACAGGAATGGGATTTCACCAGGCTGGAGGCTTTTCTTGATTATTTTGTACCTGAGATAGGCAATAAATAAAAACAGAGACAATTAGCCCTCGAGCATAGGAACCCATGTAGATGGAATAGAAGCATTTTAATTGGTGCCTGCCTCTTGAATTTGCATCCGTTGATTTCCTGCATTGTTTGAAGAAAGTAAAAGTGACTCCCTATTTCCTTGTCTGCTTTTCTGTCTGTCTGTCTGTCTGTCTGTCTGTCTGTCTGTCTGTCTGTCTATGCCTGCCTGCCTGCCTTTCTCTCTCTCTCTCTCTCTCTCCCTCTCCCTCCCTCCCTCTCTCTCTGTCTCTCCCTCTCTCCCTCTCTTCCTCTCCTCTCTCTCTCTCTAACTCCCCCACCTCTCTCGCTAGAAGATTTTTTTTAAATTAAAGTGTTTTGAGAAAGTTAGACAATCCAATGCACCACAGAAAATAGTTTTTGCCAGGGCTGCATTAATGCAAAAATACTTCAAATGGACTAATATCTATATTTGATTCCTATTAAGCAACTTCAGATTGTGCAAGTTTAAAAGACTTTCCAGTAAACCAAAACCAGCAATGAAAGCATTTTATAGATAGATAGATAGATAGATAGATAGATAGATAGAGAGAGAGAGAGAGAGAGAGAGAGAGAGAGAGAGAGAGAGAGAGAGA